TGGTTCTTTTTCTAGTAATTTTGTTAACTCATCGGTTAAATTAACAAGCATATTTTCATATCCACCTATAATAAAGTAAACCTTTTCTTGATATTCCAACGCTAATGCATTATTTGATTTTTTACTAATGTCTTCATTAGTCATTGCTATCAATTGAAATATATATATGTATACAAGATTAAATTCTAAATAAGCTAAAAACATAAACTCTTTGAATAAATTTACCAGAGTATTTAAATTTTTCGTTGCCAAAATTCACTTCTACTGACCCGCCTTGTGATTTAAATCCAACACAAGGGTATATAATGCCTTTGAAATCACAATATAGATGGCACGCAATTCCTTAAAATATTTTTTATGATTATTAAATTTTATCTATTTGCTTTAAGAAATATAAATTTAATTCCTAAAATGTTTTGGTTACCTAAGTTGATTCCATTTTTAGTATAAAATACTATGTTACTTCTAAAATTTAGATAGCATCCAACTATATCTCCAGTAGTAAATCCAGGAGAACCTAATAAATCATATGGCTCGCTACTTCCTGAACAAAAAGAATATCCATCGTCACCATGATAACCACACCCCCATGTTTCACTTTCCTTATTTTGTTCATCTTTTTTAGTTTCTTTATTTTCCTTATATTCCTGACCTAAGGGATATGATAGATGTTAATTTGTAATAATAAGAAAATAAATCAAAATTTTGCTATTACCGGGCATGAGCATATTATTTATATAATCTGAATCATCTATTTTTTTATCGCTTTGCTTTGTACAATACCCGATTGCAATCATTCTATTTAAGAAAATGGATTAAAAGATTATAAAATCATAAGAACAAAAGCGATATTTATGTTATGAAATAATTATTATTAATGATACCCATTTTTTCCTTTGTTTATGATTTTAATTTCAAAGTAAAATATTCCACACTCCGAAGGGATTGGATGATTTGCTCGAACTATAGCAGCTTTAAAATCATCAGGACCTTTAATTAAAAGTTTTAATCAATAAAAAGTTATTATGATATTCTTTAAATTATAAGCGATTAACATTCATTAAATATGTTGCTGCAAGATTTCTCATCTTCATATTACCTGTATAATTCACTTTAAGTCCACTTGAATCTATGTCAATAAACGGTGATTTGTCATTAATATCACATGCAGTCGGCAAAACAATATCATTGTATGAAGTTATTAAATCCAGATCTCCCATTAGGTTAAAATTCATTTAGACGATTAGTGAACGGATATGTAGAAATATTGATTTTGTAAGCATTTATTATCGAACACAATCACTCACTTCGGCCAGCATTGAGTTATATTGATCCACTAAGCATAGCGGGCTTTCATTCTGATTGGATGATCGACCAGGATGTTACACAATATAAAAGACATATTGCGTAATGTTTTGCAAGCACAAAAATGGATTAGTAAGCACGATGACGAGTTAGTAAGAGTTAAGACCAAAAGAATTTAAAAGTAGAGGTTTCGTTTTATATACTGACAAAGTAATTTGGCAATTCACGAAGTAATTTGGAAGTTAGATGAGAGGTATGTTTGAACGTTTAAGTTTTGCTTATAGGTACAATAAGTTAATGAAACCCAGCAATTTAAGTTGTCTTTTTATTTTTGAAAACTTATTTTTCGTAATCCAAACTAATATAAAAACCTGACTATAATATAGACCAATAATATGAAGTTGAGAGTTATAACAAATAAGGTTCATAGACATCGTGATAATAGTTAAAGCGGTACTGTAGCCATATAACGATTATTAAATAAGATTAATTAGTTTGATATTAGAGAGAATACTTACTGAATTTTTTTTTATATTAGCCATTAATGTTCCATAATAGGTTTAAATATTTATTTTCTACGTATATTTTTTTGTTTTTGGTTCATTTTTTGGAGCTTTTTTTCTTTTTTTTTGATTCGTAGTATGTTAGGGTTATTTCTTTAATAAAATTTTGGCTCGTCAGAATTTTATCTGTAATAAGATTTTAGATTTAGATTTAAGGCTATCGAGATTTCATGGTAAAGACCTATGTTGGTATTAATTTCGTTACAAATATAGTTATTTATATGTATATATGAGTTTTTATTCATGACGAAGAATTTCGATTAATTTCGATTAAACAATAAAATTTTTGCTATATCACGAGATGATCTACAAAAATTGGCCAATCACAATAAAAGCCCGCTATGCTGTTAGTAAATTGCCACCTGCGTGATGATATAACCAACATTAAACATTTTTTAAAAATTTAAAACTAAATAAAATTTCAATTAAAAAAAAATTTCAAAAAAGCGCCTTTTTTGTCTAAAATATAAAGTCTACTGAGCAATTGAATAAAATTTTTAAAGAAATTAATATGTAAAATATTGAGAAGATACAGTTTGAAATCAAACATCTTTTTATAAAAACAAAATTTACTGGAATTCAAACTGTATCTCCTCAATAATTTACATATTAACTTCTTTAAAAATTTTACTCAATTGCTCAGCAGACCCTATATTTTAGAAAAAAAAGAGCGCTTTTTTAAAAAACATTAAATTTGTAACGAATTTGATAAAAATTTGTCGAAATTTAGGTTATTTACTATAAATCATCATCTTCGTTACACAAAAAAAAATTACTAGTAATTTTTACTATGAGACTATACATAGTACATTGGACACCCCAACGTACAGCATCGGTGTATGTAAATGTTAAAAATGATGATAATGGTAATAATGACATAATTGACACCGTACCACGGATCTCACGAATCAACTCATATGACGTTGATCTACCGTAGAAAAATCCATAGAATCTAGTTAATGAACACAAATATCATAAATAACTTTTTTAAGTATGGTCATGGCACTGTCTCACGTACCTCGTGCAGATTGTATGACACATCCCATAATATAGATTTTCTTAACAACAATTATCGTTTATTGAAACAATACTAACACTTGTAAACTCCGAAATGATCCGGCGGTAATCACCGTTTAACATTTATTAATTGCATGCAAAGATGATATTTTAGACAAAGAAATTTTTCATATTTTCATACTGTATATAAAATCGAATAAATTTTGATTACATAATATTCATAATAATGAGTCACAAACTAAACATCTAGTTTTTCATAGTGATATGATGGATTATAACATATTTGGCAAACTATTACATTCTGATTTTTTATAAATTTTTGAAAAATAAGAGTATTTACGGAAATGTGAAATAATCCCGCGTGATATTGATGGCAAAAATCACTCAACAACTAATTATGGAAAGCAATATAATTAGTCAAAAACTTATAAAAAGACCATTAATTAGTGACGAAAATCATTTTTATCAAAATTTAGATAATTTGCGATAATAAAATTAGCATTTAACGTTAATAACAGAAGGTAAACATCAAAAATCAATAAAAGCATGTCGATACCAATTGAAGAATTCAAACCTCATTTCCCTCCAAGAATAACACCCCAAGACATTTATACTGAAATTTTATCCAATAGCAATAAGCATAGCAAGAGAACAACAAAGCTCCCAACAGCTTTTGACGCATACAAGCTTTGCTTTCGTCGAGAATTTGAGTTACAAAGTTATAATGCTTTGGAAGAAATGATTACACCTTTGGCTATTAATTCATGGGCTAAAGAACCATCCGACGTTAAAGAAGAATATAAAAGGTTATTGAGTGAAGCGAAAACATTGTAGTAATAAACTTTATAAATTTATTATGTAAATATGTAGTTAATTTAATAATATATATTATGGTATGATGACATATGATGACAGTCATGATGATAGAAGGATTCATAATTGCCATTCAAATCCTAAATTATTATCTCTATGTGAAGTAATTTATCCGTCTAAAATTTTGTTAATAATACTTGTTTAAGTAAATAGTGTATATTGAGGTATTTTTATAGTTATAGACAATAGATATAAATTTGTAAAATTTTCAGAATTAAAATGGCAATTGATTTTTTTAAGATTTTGGATTTGTACAGGTTTGAACGGGTAACTATGGGAAGGATAGTTTTAACGGTTTTGCCAATAGCCAATTTTGGTAATTTAACATATACGTATCAGGTATAACGAAGTATGTACTGTACATCCATATATATATGTATTTAGTTATTATAAGATAAACTATATTTTTAACAATGGTTTAAAAGGAAATTACCATCTACATAACTTATCGACATAATTATAACATTATCGACACAACATTATTGTATGGTAGGATTAGGTTACGTCAGTAGCAATTTCCTTTTTAAAATTCATTCATCCCCCCCCCCCCCCCCCCAGTTTAGTCATTCGTTCATATTTAAATATTTAATAACTATGTATATCGACATCGATCTAGATACTTAAATAAATTTAACATCTGACAAGTTTTATACGTATGAAAATTGCAATCAATTGTATTGTAACAATAACTGGTTATGAAACAGTATCTAGTACGTACGTACGTAAGTCAACCGGAGATTAATTCCCGTCACAATGTTACATTAACGTGACACTGTACTATAGAAGGCGATAGATTACTATACCTAGCATCGGTGGTGATTCTTAATGTACTGTACAATTAAATGGTTTTCTATATGCAAATAAACGTCACTCATCCCCCTTTTCGATTAATCAAAATCACAAAAAAAAATAAAAAATCTTAACCATTCCTGGAGTTTAACAAAGCAAATTTTATATTAACGTTAACAATTATTTTTTTTTTTTGGAATACGTACTTAAATAGAAAATTACCTTTTTTGGTTATAAAAACAAAGCGAACTAAAATAGTTCAAGTTATTATAGATTGCACTTTGTATCGGAAAAATTATGAATGTTTCTCTAGAAAATTGTATGTCTTCCAAAGATTTCCATGAAATCTTTTACGGAGTTATCTTTTCATAAGAAGAATAAAGTATAAATATGCCATGAATTTGCTTCAACTTTTCTCTGCTCAGATTTGAATTTGTAGCTTAATCAATCGTAATGTCTGAAGAGCCTCAAAAAATTAATAGACCTCCTTTCCCTCCACGCTCACTCAATTTCTCTGAAATTGTTAATGAATCTTTAAAGAAGTATAAAACTGGAAAGAGTTCAAAAACCCCAAACGCATACCTCTTATATCGTAAGGAGTATACAGCTACGTTTAAAAATTCTAATCTTGGGCACATTTCGACGCTATCGAGTGAAGCGTGGAATTCCGAACCACATGAAATAAAACTGGCATACAAACAATACGCAGAACGAATTAACGAGTTTGTGAGAAGAGAAATACCGTACTGCTTTGTCGCCAACAAAGCAGATCGAAGTTCAGAAAACTCGGACGATGATTCCGAAACCGGTCAATCGAATCAAATGAGTCGAATAAATCAAATAAATATGTCGAACCAAATAACTCGAAGTAATACAAACGCAAACGAAATAACCCCCGAAGATCCTCAATACGCTTATTATTCTTATTATATGCTTTAAAAAAAAAAAAAAAAAAAAAAAAAATTAAATAGAAAAATATGTAAGGAAACTTATGTATCATGTAATAAAATTATACATATTTGATAGACAATTTTCGATAAAAAATTATGTACTGCATTAGCTTTATAATATGCAAATATGTAGTCGAATAATTTTTTTCGATTTTATATAGATTTTATCATTTTTTCGATTTATATATATTTTATTTTTTTCTTCATATATATACATTTTCATTTCGTCTTTTAAATTTTAAAACGCCTGGGCACTATACTTTAAATTTTAAAGCATATAGTCAATTTTAATAAAATACATTTTAACTTTGCTCTCATAAAAATCTGGTTATATATATCATAGTATCGTAACAATTGATTAAATGTGATTATAAAAGTGCTATATATAAAATAATTGAAGATACCATTGTTATCTTTGATTAGCATTGAGTGCAGTAACAAACAATATATAGTTATTGGATGCGAAGCAGCCAATAAATGTCTTTATTGAATGAACGAAGAATATGCTGCATTATAAGTACAACATGCATTCGCCTGATGTCAATGTGATTCTAGTTATTATTTGGTTTAGGCAGTAGTTATTGTTGTAGTACCACATACTAACTATCGAATGAAATTACAAAATTTATATTAGTCTAACCGTTTAACATCACATGCTCATAATACTATAAAGTGTTATATATTAAAAATAATGAATTAGTAAATTGTATCATATTTACATATAATTATCAACAATAACCGCTCGTTTAATTTGTTTAATATGTAATAAATTTATGATTCGCATTCATTTAAATTAACTATTAGCTCTCTTCAAATTAAGTAACTCCCACAGGTATTATTTCACGTGATAAGGTATGTTCTTGACCAGTTTTCGAAGCGTGTATGAATCACGACTGGTCATATAACAAATGTAATGAAAAAAAAACGTACATATAAGAAATTTGTTATGACCCAATTTGGTCAAAGTATAAGAACATTAATCTAAAATTCAATTTTGTCGCAAAAAGTTCATAGCGAGCGATAATGCAACAAATTTTAGGATGTAGCTATTTTATTTTTTCAAACTAGAGTCTCAAGCAAAGTAGATATTGATTTTTCTAGAACAACATATACATTGAGAT